TTAACACTTAACAGTTGGGATCAAGTTGTTTTCCTTCATGGCTACATTTGCCTCTCGACATACTTTAGGAGGACCTCCGTGATCAAAATTTTCGATTCGTCATTAAAAAACGCATAACGTTCTGCCAAAATGATTTCGGCTTGCCACATACTCTTTTGCGATCTCCAAACGCATTTTTTCTTATAATCAGAAATCAATGGTTTTTTACGAGCGACTACCATGTATACCAGCATTTTGCAGGGTGTTCTGGATGGTGTGGAATCAAAATTATTTTTTAAAGCTTCTCTAGGGTTTTAAGAATTATACATGTTGTTCTGGAATTTTGTAGTGCTGTATTTACAACTTTTTGCTCCTCCCGTGCTTTTAATATCTGGGGCCTTCCAGCTATTCATCTTCTGCAGCAAATTCTCCAGTGTTTATGTATTTTTTTTTATTACAATTTGCATTGTGAAAGATGGTTTGAAAATAATTCTAGCAATTTCGGGTAACTGCGATTCACTAAGTTGAATTATACCCGTTACTCGTAAAGTAAAAGGGTACATTCGATTCGTTGAAAAGTATGTAACAGGTAGTAGGAAGCGCTACCGACCCTATAAAGTATATATATTCTTGATCAGGATCAATAGCGAAGTCGATTGAGCCATGTCCGTCTGTCCGTCCGTCCGTCCGTAAAAACGCTGAGATCTCAGGAACTATAGCAGGAGCAGATACAATGTTGAGATTAAGCATGACGATTCTTGAAGTCCCGGGACAGCGCAAGTTTATTTCAGCATCCTGCCACGCCCACTCTAACGCTCACATACCGCGAAAAACTAAAATCGCTGAAATCTCGGGAACTATTAAAACTAGAAAGTTTAAATTCAGTATGCACACTGCTGGTCTTAGGTTAGACACACCAACTTTTTTTTAAAATTTTATTTTTATCAGTTTTTTTTTATCAGAGTTCGAATCTTGTTCGAAAAATATGTGCTCACAGCTGGTTGATTTGCGAAAAAATAACTGTACGTTCGAAGATATCAGAAATTTCTAAAGCAATAACGCGTGTTTTCGGTTGGTCATTGAATTAGACGCACTTTAGATTTCTTTGTCTTGCGTAAACAATTGCAGTATTTTGTATTGAGAAAATATTAAAAATAAACAAATAAATATTTTTAGAGCTATATCAATAGTAAAAATGGGAAAAGCTGGTGTTATGAGCTTATTAGAACGACAACAAGTAGACTTTTCAACTCGCAAAGACTGTCCATTCGAAAAATTTCCAACAAGATAAAGATAAAGATAAAGATCGCAGCTCCAGGACTGTTGATAGATATTTAAAAAATCCAGAGGAATATGGAAAAAACTTTAAAGGAAAAAAAAGACCACTATCTGAACGAGCAGTACGAAAAATTGTTAGAATTGCATCAAATTCGATTAAGTCCGCAACTAAGATTAAGGAATTAGCCGGAGTAAAAGCAAGCCTCTCAACTGTTCAGCGTACAATCAGAAATGCAGACCACCTAAAGCGTCTAAAAATCAAGAAAAAACCTCCACTGAATGCAATACGCAAACGGCTTCGGTTCGCGAAAGAATACATGACGTGGTATGTTTAATCTGACACTTGGTTTAATGATTGGCGTTCTGCTGTTTTTACTGATGAAAAACGTTTTGATTTAGATGGCACCGATGGCTTTCAAAATTATTATCACGATTTGCGAAAAGATGAGCTATTTTTAAGCTGCCACCACTGCCGAGAAGGTGGGGTAATGGTTGATTTTTATTCATCAGAAGATGAACGGCGATCGCTTCAAAACATTGTTGGAGTCCGTATTTCCAAAATTAAATGATCTCCTTGGACCAATTCCTTGGATTTTTTTAATATCATGACCTGGCCACCATATTCTCCAGATCTTAACGTAATTCAAAATGTTTGGGGCTGGCTAACGCGGAAGGAATACGAAGGAGGAAAGCAATACGAAGATAAGGAAACATTAACTGCAGCCATAAAAAGTGTTTGGAGCGAGATTTCGTTGAAATACATAGATTCCCTGTATTAATCTATGAAGGACAGGATATTTGAAGTTATTGCTAACAAAGGAGGCAATACTCATTACTGAAATATTTTTTTAAATTTATAATAAATCAAAAAAAAAAAAATATGTCTAAGTGCGTCTGTTCTATTGACCAAGAAAAATGTGCCTTATTTGAAGTTTCTTGAAGAAAATGTTTGAAAACCCAACTAATGATATATTTTGTGTTAATATTTTGAATATTATAATTGAAGTATTGTTAAATAACCAAGGTTTTTGCATATTCACTTTTTTTCAATAATCGTTAAAATAATAGATATAAAAGAAATTTGTTTGAAAACTGAGTGCGTCTAACCCAAGACCAGCAGTGTATAAACTTTGGATGCCAGCGCATCTTTTAGTGGTACTATTATCTGGTCACACCCACCCATACGCCCATACGCTAAAAAAGAGCTACAAAGTTAGGCTCAAGAATACGTATTTCGGGCCACGCCTGTGGCGTCTATAATAATACTATAAATACCTTCGTTTGATGTTGTATAACTTATTTCCGTTAATATCTACCGATTTAAAAAATATTTTTCAAATTGGAACATTATTTCGCTACTTATGAAGAAATTTAGGTTATAAGGCCTCACATGGGCAGTGACGTCACTATCAGTTACTCGACATGCTTTCTCCGACAATAGGTAGCGCTTGGGTAATTTCCACTAGCAAAATGAATATTTTAAAATTGTGTAAAACAGTAACGGGTAGCTTATAGTCGGGGCACTCGACTATAGCGTTTCCTCTTGTTATATACTTAATAACTTTAAACAGGAGATCTAAACTCCGCATGCAGTCGGAAAAGAAAGTGCAAAGTAACATGGTTGTAAAAGCATACTTATGATGTAGGGAAGATAATCAGTATACATTAGACAATCGAGTTTAAATGTACCAATGAAGTCAATATTGCGGACAAGAGATACGAAATCTCAAATTGCCTCTTTAGAGAGTTTCAGATATAACTAATCGAAATATAAGGATCGAAAGGTCATTATGATCAGAAAAAATTGTGGAGGCAAGCAAGTCGATTGGAACGGATAAATATATGTTTATCTTGCAGATTTAAATCCCCCAAAAAGGTTTAACGGTCCTGCTTTTATGGCCGGGATACTTCAACGGAAATCAGCAATTCGTTCCAACATTTATTTATGTCAGCTGTGGTTGCTGAAAAGAAGATTTCGACCTAATCAGGGAAACTGCAGTACGTTTTTGGTTTTATTGCTTATTTAGACGATTACAGAGTTTAAGATATATCCAGTGGTTGATATAAAGCGTACTCGGCGTATCAGTACTCCAGGTCATTTAATGGTCCTCTCAGGGACCTCACCTGATCACCATCGTCGGCTGCCAAGAGTCTTTTACCCGGTAATCGGTCGAAGTCAGTGTGACCGAGCTTGTATGGCTGTATCCATATTCGCAATGTTTCAGTTTTGGTATTCAGTGTGATTTTTTATTCCATAAAAAGGGTGTTCTTTTTAAAGGTATAGAACTTGTAGTATTACATTTTCAGCCACGGCTGGCTCGGATGTAGTCCAATTTTCGATGACTGTAACGATCTTGGCATCATCGTTTTTGAAGAAGTAAGGACCAATGATTCCACCAGCCCATAAAGCGCACCACATAGGCAGTTTTTCTGTATGTAACGGTGTTTTGACATACACTTAAGGGTTAACATCACTCCAAATGCGTAAGTTTTGTTTGTTAGCGTAGCCATTCAAACAGAAATACGCTATCGATTTTGTCGACGATAAAATTTTCGAAATTAAATTGCACTAATTGCAAGCGTTGTTAAGGCCTGAGTCTATTCATGATGAATTGCCAAACCAAACTGAGAACAAATCACTTGACAGCTGTTAAATCGGTCGCCATCTTAAACAGTAATGCCAACTTAAATTTGTATAACTTCAAATAAAATACCTTCAATATCAATTCTCTGGTTTATATCTTATTTTCTAATGTAAGTACATCCTTATGAGCTGGCCCTGGAATATGTCCATTATTCCTGAAAGGAGTAGAACATTGCCTTCCCTACTCTCTGTCAGTTTTGGCTACTTCACAGTATGGTTTCAGATCCCCAATATACTCTCGCTTCGTTTTCCTATTGCCCTGAATCTATGGATCTGGATCTGGGATCTGAGGCGGTAAAATGTAAGGAAAGCTCACCTCTCACCGGCGTGACACTGAATTCAGCAGTAGATCTGCATTAGTATTGGAATATCACGCGTTCTTATGCATTATCTTTTCTTTTTGTACCGGCAACCGCTCGCGACCTGCACCCGCTTAAAACCTTTTGTAAAACCGCCTGATTTCAATAAATATACTCAAACCCTATAATAAATAAATACAGTCCACTTAATTCATAAACATAACAAAATTTTGTTCTTTCGAGCGGATTTTCTATCAAGTACAGTGGAGCGTCTATTTGAGGGGCAAAACCAACTTCTGGAAGAAATGCATACGTCATCGGGAGCAGCTGATTTAAGGTTTGAGAAAATTATAATTCCCACATTATTTGGCAAATACGAGGATTGGAGCCAATTTAGTGATTTGTTCTTAAGTTCAGTAAATAATAACGAAAAGCTTTCCAAGTGCCAAAAATTTAATTATTTGGAATCTTATTTAGATGGGAAAGCACTTTCCTTAATTAAACATTTTGCTGGTAGAAATGATAATTACCAAGATGCGTGGGAAAATTTTAAAATCGTTATAACAAGATAACGTTAATCGCTCGATCATTTGCTCAGAATTTTCTATCGTTGCCAATCGCTATCAATTTGAATATCTTAGAGTTAGGTAGGGTAATTGACTCTGCCGACGATTGTATATAGCTTGGGCTAACTGTAGTGTGTCGTCCAAGGAAGACGCCACCATAAATTATCTATTCGCTTTTCTTTTTGCTCATTGCAATACTTTAAGGTCTTGTCAGGATATACACGTAAGGCGACCCCCAAGACCAGCCCAGAGTAGACGCCGCCAAGTCGCTTATCATGCAAGTGGATCAAATCAGTCTTCTCGCGACTGTATATATCGTCAAGGACAGCACAATACGAGTATATACGCATGTACTGCATTCAAAGCCCTGGATGTCGTAAATCGCCGTACCTTTGTCAGGGATACTAAGCTTTGTTTTAATTGCCTAAGTCCATCTCATCAAGTCAAGGATTGTAATTCTTCGAACACTTGCCGTCAGTGCAACGCTAAGCATCACACGCTAGTCCAGCCGGAAGAGTCTAGATCGATTCCGTTGGGCTCCGCACATATGTCTGCGGCTGAGGTTAATATATTTTCTTCGATTGATCCTGATGTTGGTATGAATACTGCTGCTGACAGCCATCATACTGTGGAGAGGGCCAACAATCAAGCCCTACTACCAACTATTCTTATAGCTCGATACTGGATCAACAATAACCATGGTAGCTGAGTCGTTTATCCAGCGGATTGGAATTCCATGAACGCATGCTCGCATCTCAAACTAATTTAATGATACTTTTTATTTATCTGTTTTTTTTTTATTATGGATATGTGGGGTTAAATGTTTAAATAATTTAACATTAACACATAATTCAACATGATGTCTGAAAGTATCCATATAAGTAAAAAGTTGTGAGATTAAAATAACACTGAGACATCTTATTTTTCAGGTGGTGGCCTTGTTGTTGGAACAGCATTATCTTTGTTGTTTTTTAAAAAACGAGCATGGCCTGCATGGGTCGGTGCGGGTTTTGGAATCGGCGTCGCATATAGAACATGCGAAATGGAAATAAATTCTTTTAAGTGAATATTGTACGATATAATTTATAATAAAACACTTATGTATTGTTGAACTTTACACTGTGAGAAGTACAAATAAGGCCAACGAAATTAAGGGCTTGTTACGATCAATTTCGACAAAAAATAGGTTCGTCTGGATATACTTATATATGTATAAATATCTAATACTTACAGAGCACTATTGTGTATGGGGGACTGATTTCAAGAGTGGCATAAGTTACAACAAATGTACATCTAGGGAAGATAAAAAGTTGAAAATTATTTGTTGACCTAAAATGCACGTTAAAAGATAATAGGTTCGGCATACGGACAAGATTATGTGTAAGCCAGTAATTATTTACCAGGGAAAGTAAATTGAGCAGTAGTAGTATTTTAAGGAAAGAAGTCAACATTAAGTTTTGATACCAGTTCAAACCTAGTGAAGCAATTAAAATTTTTTTTATACCCGATACTCGTAGAGTAAAAGGGTATACTAGATTCGTTGAAAAGTATGTAACAGATAGAAGAAAGCGTTTTCGACCCTATAAAGTATATATATTCTTGATCAGGATCAATAGCGAAGTCGATTGAGCCATGTCCGTCTGTCCGTCCATCCGTCCGTCTACCCGTCCGTATGAACGCTGAGATCTCAGGAACTATAGCAGATACAAAGTTGAGATTAATAATGAAGATTCTTGAGATCCCGGGACAGCGCAAGTTTATTACAGCATTCTGCCACGCCCACTCTAACGCCCACAAATCGCGGAAAACTAAAATCGCTAAAATCTCGGGAACTATTAGAGCTAGAAAGTTGAAATTCAGTATGCATAAACTTTGGATGCCAGCGCATCTTTTAGTAGTACTATTATCTGGCCTCACCCACCCGTACGCCCACCAAGCTCTAAAGACGGTTTTCGCATTTTCAAGAAAACCTGATATCTCGGTAACTATAAGTGATAGAAACTTCGGATTAAGCATGTAGATTTTTATGATGCCCCAAATACGAATTGTTTTTCCATCTAGCCACGCTCACCCTAACGCCCACAACACCCAAAAAACCAAAAATGCAAAAATCTCGGGAACTAATAAAGAGCTACAAAGTTAGGCTCAAGAATACGTATTTAGGGCCACGCCTGTGGTGTCTATAATAATATTATAAATACCTTCGTTTGACGTTGTATAACTTATTTCCGTTAATATCTACCGATTTAAAAAATATTTTTCAAATTGGAACATTATTTCGCTACTTATGAAGAAATTTAGGTTATAAGGCCTCACATGGGCAGTGACGTCACTATCAGTTACTCGACATGCTTTCTCCGACAATAGGTGGCGCTTGGGTAATTTCCACTAGCAAAATGAATATTTTAAAATTGTGTAAAACAGTAATGGGTATCTTATAGTCGCGGCACTCGACTATAGCGTTTCCTCTTGTTTTATTATAGTTTTTTTTTCGTGTTATTAAGGAAATTTTCTAATATATAAATTAAATCTTGTTAATTTTATGTTTGAGATATTCCATTTTAATTTCCGTTACATAATTCCCGAGATTAAACAATTAACTTGCCACTAATGGGTGTACGAATAAATTATGTGCCGACTATATGTATGTACACATTTCATTTGCAGTATTTACAATTCGTACACATGGTAAAGATTAGTTTTAATCTTTTAGAAATATATAATGTTAAAAATATTTTTACATAATATTTAACTTCTGTTTATACTCCTTACTCGTAGAGGAAGAGGGTACATTAGATTCGTTGAAAAGTATGTAACAGGTAGTAGGAAGCGCTTCCGACCCTATAAAGTATATATATTCTGGATCAGGATGAATAGCGAGGACGATTGAGCCATGTCCGTATGAACGCTGAGATCTCCGAAACTATAAGAGATAAAAAGTTGAGATTAACCGTGAAGATTCTTGAGTTCCCTACGCAGCGCAAGTTTATTACAGCATCCTGCCACGCCCACTCTAACGCCCAAAAATCGCAAAAAAACTAAAATCGCTTAAATCTCAGGAACTATTAGAGCTAAAAAGTTGAAATTCAGAATGTATAATCTTTAGATGCCACCCATACGCCCACAAGGCTCAAAAGACGGTTTTCGCACTATCTAGAAAAGATGATATCTCGGTAACTATAAGAGATAGAAAGTCCGGATTAAGCATGTAGGTTTTTATGATGCTCCAAATGCAAAATACTAGCTACGCCCACCCAAACGCCCACAAAACCTGAAAAACCAAAAATTGGAAAAATCTCGGAAACTATAAGAGCTACAAAATTTTCCTTAAGAATACGTATTTAAGAGATGCCACTGCAATTTGCCACGAAGATGCATCCGGCCACGCCCACTCTAACGCCCACAAACCGCGAAAAACTGTGGCGTCTATAATATTATGAATGCATTCGTTTGACCTTGTATAACTTATTTCTTATTAACAAAATTTAAATGTAGTTTTTTAACAGGGAATATTACCATGCTTATTAAACTAAAACGATTTTCATAATCATAAAAACGATAGCTTGGGGTTTTCCTTAATTTTCCGATCGTTTTCAATTTTACCAGGTCAACGATCCGCAGCATTCAGCAGGAAAAGTGAAGTCCTGGCTTATCAGGAGCTGCCCTCATGCCGATATAACGCCAGTACAGGATCTGGATTTAATTGTGATCGAAAATTTATTGGATATATTGGACATCTCTGTTTTTATGATTATGAAAATCGTTTTAGTTTAATAAGCATGTTAATATTCCCTGTTAAAAAACTGCTTTTAAATTTTCTTGATATCTTTTTTAGTTTAGCAGGAATATCGACTAAAACTTTTTTTTGGCAGCTACACGAAATAAGCTGCGATCCACTGTATATATATAAGTTATGGCCAGACATGACCAGAGCGGGGAGTATTCCCCCGGATATTACCTAGTTAACGTTATGAGCATCCTTGTATCTGGGGTCTCCAGTGCCTTCGTCCACAACTTGTGTTTCCAGTTCCTTCGTCCACAACTTGGGTTTCCAGTTCCTTCGTCCACAACTTAGACTTTTCTTTCTGCGCAGCTACGTCAAAATAAAACAGTAAGCGTTGTCATACGTTACAATGGTTTTATTAGTATAAAGGACAGTTGTCTGGTTGCCTTTGGGGTACAAATCGAAGTAAATCTAAATCATAGTTTGCCTGGCTTGTTGACTGCATAACGCTGGCAGAGCGGTTGCAGCAGTCCGATGCTGACAGCAGCGTTTTTGGGGATTTTGGGCCAAAGTGTTGCTATGCTCCAGGTGCTGGTGTTGCATTTCCGTCCGTGTGCAGGGGTAGGGGTAGCTATGGCCCTCATTATTTCGTTGACCTGGTCCGCTATTATAATTGCTTTGTGGAGGACGGCCGTCGTTACGTGGAAGTCCGCATCTATTGCGTTGACTCTCCCGATAACGTCGTTCAACTTCTGGAGCGACTCGTGTGTTGTGTCAAACAACTTAGTATTGATGCGAATCGGCTGATTGTTGTTTCTCGCCTAGCTGTCCTCCTCTTTCAAGATGGCATTCCAATCCGATTTGTCCGGTGATCCCGCGACCCACTTCCAAGCTGATCCTAGCCAGTCTTCGTGTTGGTGCGCCAACCATGCGCGAGATTCCCTCTGAAGCGTGTTGCAGATAGTGGTCAACCAGTGCGTCAATACGTTGGTCGGTTACCACCATAGCCTCGTTTGCCATCTGGTCGATGAGTTGCTGCATGTGGCCTAGATTGATGACGTGAGCCAGTTTGAAAACGCCATTGGTCCTCTAGACGGCACCTTGCTGCAAGGGGACAACCGGTACATCATATTGGAAAATGTGGAGGGTTGTCGCCACGTAGATTGTGGACGCACTTGTAACGTCGGCAGGAGATTACATGCACATGAAATTGTAGATTCTTATAATAAAATAGTTTCTTTGTCTTAAGCCTAATGTTTGTGTTGGCGTTCTTTGTATTTTGTTGTATTATTCGTATGATCTTATTACTAAAAAAATTTTTATTTTGTGTGGTTCAATGACATTCTGATTAAATGTTCCCCTGTTATGAGAGGTTTTTTTGTTTTTGCTTAACTTAAACTAGGAATTGAATTATTGAATTATTTTTTTTTATGTCTAGTGTTTATTTGTTTGTTTGTTTGTGTTTGACGGAGGTTATGGGTCAGTGAAACGTTCAGTACGCATTTTTTGTTTAGATAAATTTCAATATTTTGAGGAGTTATGATATGCTGTTGCCAGTCTTCCCTGTCGAGAAAAATATAAGCTACACTGTTGATCAAAAAATTAATTTATTAGGTGGGACTTATGAAAGATTTTTACCGACCTTGTTTTGATAGTGACCCTTCGGTCATCTTCTTATTTGTCACCGAGTGGACGGAGTTATTGTATCTGTCTAAAACAATTGAGATAGACTCATTTGGTTTAAAGGTGGGATATTCGCCTTTTAAGCATCGATATATTTCCATGAAGGTAGAATGGAATTTTTCTACCCGACCGTTTACTTCGCTTTTCTGAGTTAAGGTATGGTAGAGCTCAATTTCCAAAGTTCGAAGGTAGTTTAGGACAGTTGGGCATAGAAGGCCTCTTTCGTTATCCGTAACTATCATTCTAGGCGCCGTGAAGTAATGGAGTGCACCCAATAGTGTTTCGCAAAGACGGATTGCTGATTTCGATTGTAAGGGGAAAAGTTTAGCAAATTTAGAGAATTTGTCGATGCAAATAAGATATACTTTTTTCTCCAATGTGAAAACGTCGATATGAAGTATTTCACATGGGTAGTTAGGTATAGGAGTTGGCTGTAGTGGTGGTTTATTTGGGTGCCTGTCATACTTGTGCAATTTACAAGTGGCACAGGTTGACAGTTGCGTGCGAATAATATTAGCCATCCGTGGGAAATAGTACTTTTCTAGGATCTGAATGCGGACCTCTTTTGGACCTCTTCTTTTTCGATGACTTCGCAAATTTGCTCTTCGTCCGTAATATCCTGAACTAAGCGCTGTGTTATGCGGATTTTGAACAATTTAAAACTCTGAAAGCAACAGATTTAAAGGAGTTGTAGATAATCGTCCGGAATTTTAATCCCATTGATTACTGAAGGTTTAAAGTACTTTTTTAGTGAGTCTAGAAGCTTAGAAGAGGTATAGTCGTTAATTGGAATTGAGTGGCGCACGTATCCGGCATGTGGGTGTTCACATGAGTAATCGGATAGGCCTGGATGAAAATCAGTTGATTTCGGTAGGCGTTAATCGGTGTTTCAACGTGGGGGATTTAATGAGATGCGTCTTGAAGAGCGCTATGAATTGTAGCTATAGAATCTGACTCGGAGGCGGTATCGGTGCCAGAGCCCAGATGGTTAACGTACGTTGTAACCCTTGAAAGTGCATCGGCCACTATATTCGACTTCCCTGGTTTGTATATTAGTTCGAAATTGTATTCCTCAATACGGGACTTCAAACGTTTTAACTTAGCGTTAAAATTTCTATGGCCTACGGCAAATGTTAAAGGCTGGTGATCGGTGTGAATCTTGATGGACCCGGCACCATACAAATAAGACCGAAGATTATCTAAGGCCCACACTATGGCGAGCATTTCCTTTTCATTGGTGGCATAGTTTTTTTCCGTCTGAGTCAAGGACCGAGAGATATACGCTATTGGCCTATCCTTGCCAGCGTCTACTTGAGAAAGGACTGCCCCGATAGCATAATTCGACGCATCAGTGGTTAAGTGAAAGTTTTTAGAAAAATTTAGAAATGTCAAACCTCTGAGGATGAAAGAATATATTTTAAATCATTGAAGGCTTTCATCGCGGCCTCGTCGAGTTCAATGGAAACTTTTTCGACTGTGACGACTTAACCCTAGCGAACTCTCCTCGAGTCAAGCTAGTTAGTGGTTTCGCGACCTTTGCATAATCCTTAATAAATTTCCTATAGTAAGATGTCATGCCGAGGAAACTCTTTAATTCCTTTACATTGGTAGGTGGTTTCATTTTTGTGACACCCTCTACCTTTTTCTCGTCTGATTTGATACCATCTGCAGTTATTACATATCCTAAGAATTCAACGTGAGTTGATAGGAAATTGGTTTTTTCTAAGTTGACCTGCGTCTGGCTTTCTCCAGGTTCTTGAAGACAGCTCGAAGGTTTTGCCAGTGGCTATCATAGTCCTCACTGAAGACTTTTATGCCGTCTATGTACACGTAGCAAATTTTGCCGTTATGTTCCCGTAACACATCATCGATCATTCTTTGAAACACCGCTGGGGCATTTTTTAGACCAAACGGGAGGCGAAGAAATTCGTACTTCCCATTCATTGTAAAGAATCAGTCTCCAACATATAAATCTGATGGAATCCCGAGGTTAAATCGAGAGTAAAGAAATATTTGGCTTTCCCTAGGCTTGCGAAAAAGGTGTTTATGTCCGGTATAGGATAAGTGTCTGCAATCGAGACAGCATTCAAGCGCTTAAAATCGATGACCATGCTTTGGTTTGGGTTTCTTTGGTACTACCCAGACTTGGGAGTTATAGAGACTTTTAGATGGTTTGATGATCCCATTTCGCAAGAGTTTTTATATCTGTCTATCCACTTCCCCTTTCATGTTGGTAGGGTAGGGATAGCTCTTTGTGTATATAGGGTCTGAGGTGCTTGTGCGAAACTCAGTCCTAACGCTCGTGTCTACGGCCTCTCCATGTGAGAGTGGCTCGAATATTTTGAAATACTCGCTTATAAGAGCGTTTGAAGCTTCCTTTGCAGACTCAGGGTGTTCTGTATCTAACAATAGGTGTACATTTAAGGATTTTTTAGTAAGAAGGGGAATCTTAATATCGGGTGATATTGTCAAGAGGTCGTTTTTCCTTTCGATCAGGGTTATTAGAGGCGTCGGTCATAGAATGTTGTTCACCATCGCCAATACACTGTATCTCTTCTAAGGGAGAGCAATGTTCTACCCCTTGCGATGGGTGTTCCAGCTCCTCCCCCTCATTATCAGAATGTTGTTGATAACACTCATTGGGAACGGGGTCTGATGATGGGGTAGACTGGATATGGTAAAGACTTTGGGCTTTACGGAAGGGGTTTAAATTGGAATTAGCGCTCGGGCTTCGTTTGATGCCACCGGCCTCTCCTTGACGCGAGTTAAAATTTGATCTATAACTTTGGCCTGAATGGTTTGACTCATGCTTGATTGCTCTAGCTCCCTGGAATCTTGGAGGGCTCTGCGGGTTTCCGCTGGGAGCAAAGTTGTGTCCTAAATTAATCTGTACCCTATGGTTTAAATGGTTATTGTTGAACTGATTCGTCTGGGGGAACCTTGGTGCGATAGGTCTATAATTCTGGTGACTTTGGCTAAAGGCCACTCTAAAGAAAGGCGCCCTTGGCGCAGGGTTCCCCGGTTCTATCTTTTGTAATTCTAGGCAAATAGAGTATGCCTCGTGGACGTCCGCAGGCTTCCGGATTATCAGTGATACCTAGAAGCGTCGCCGATTACTCCCCTTATAAAGGCATTAAGGGCGTTGTCCCTTTGACTGGCAAGAAAAGCATCGGTTATCTCCGTAGAATAATTCATGCTCTTCATTTTATTCATTATGAGCGAGACTTGATTATTGATCCTAAGGTAGAAGTCGGAATCTCCCTCGAAAGTCACAAGTGGAATCTGTTCGGGCGCCAGTTATGGCCAGACATGACCAGAGGGGGGAGTATTCCCCGGATATTACCTAGTTAACGTTATGAGCATCCTCGTATCTTGGGTTTCCAGTTCCTTCGTCCACAACTTGTGTTTCCAGTTCCTTCGTCCACAACTTGGGTTTCCAGCTCCTTCGTCCACAACATAGACTTATCTTTCTGCGCAGCTACGTTAAAATAAAACAGTAAGCGTTGTCATACGTTACAATGGTTTTATTAGTATAAAGGACAGTTGTCTGGTTGCCTTTGGGGTACAAATCGAAGTAAATCTAAATCATAATTTGCCTGGCTTGTTGACTGCATAACGCTGGCAGAGCGGTTGCAGCAGTCCGATGCTGAGAGCAGCGTTTTTGGGGATTTTGGGCCAAAGTGTTGCTATGCTCCAGGTGCTGGTGTTGCACATCCGTCCGTGTGCAGGGGTAGGGGTAGCTATGGCTGAGACAGCTAGAGATCGGTCAGTGCTCTTCCATTGACGCGCTGCTGATAGCAGCAGTTCTGGATATTTAGGCCAACGTGTTGCTAACCTCCAGGTGCTAGCTCTGCATTTTCGGTTAGCCGCGGCGATGGGCAGGGGTAGCGGCAGCTATTGCTGAGGCAGCTAGCGGGCGGTCACTGCTCTTCCATTCTCACGCTACTGCCGTTGCAATTCTGCCGTTGACGTTCTGTCGCTGCGCTGTCAAAATGCTGTAACTAGATTTCATTGATACCAATAATATTATTTTCACCTTAAAATTATCTTGAGTTGTGACAAACTAATTTAATGATACTTTTTATTTAACTGTTTTTTTTATTATGAATTTGTGGGGTCGAATGCTTAAATAATTTAACATTAACACAAAATTCAACATGATGTCTGAAAGTATCCATATAAGTAAAAAGTTGTGAGATTAAAATAACATTGAGACATCTTATTTTTCAGGTGGTGGCCTTGTTGTTGGAACAGCATTATCTTTGTTGTTTTTTAAAAAACGAGCATGGCCTGCATGGGTCGGTGCGGGTTTTGGAATTGGCGTCGCATATAGAACATGCGAAATGGAAATAAATTCTTTAAAGTGAATATTGTACGATATAATTTATAATAAAACACTCATGTATTGTTGAACTTTGATAAACTGTGAGAAGTACAAATAAGGCCAACGATATTAAGGGCTTGTTACGAGCAATTTTGACATAAAACAGGTTCGTCTGGATATACTTATATATGTATAAATATCTGAAACTTACAGAGCACTATTGTGTATGGAGTACTGATTTCAATAGTGGCATAAGTTACAGCAAATGTACATCTAGGGAAGATAAAAAGTGGAAAATTACGAGTTGACATAAAATGCACGTTAAAAGATAATAGGTTCGGCATACGGACAAGATTATGTGAAGCAAGTAATTATTTACCAGGGAAAGTAAATTGAGCAGTAGTAGTATTCTAAGGTAAGAAGTCAACATTAAGTTTTGATAGCAGTTCAAACCTAGTAAAGCAATTAAAATTGTTTTTATATACTTAATAACTTGTAACTTTAAACAGGAGATCTAAACTCCGCATGCAGTCGGAAAAGAAAGTGCAAAGTAACATGGTTGTAAAAGGATACTTATGATATAGGGAAGATAATCGGTATACAGTAGACAATCGACTTTAATTGTACCAATGAAGTCAATATTGCGGACAAGAGCGGCAATCCTAGATACGAAATCTCAAATTGCCTATTTAGAGAGTTTCATATATAACTAATCGAAATATAAGGATCGAAAGGTCATTATGATCAGAAAAAATTGTGGAGGCAAGCAAGTCGATTGGAACGGATAAATATATGTTTATCTTGCAGATTTAAATCCCCCAAAAAGGTTTAACGGTCCTGCTTTTATGGCCGGGATACTTCAACGGAAATCAGCAATTCGTTCCAACATTTATTTATGTCAGCTGTGGTTGCTGAAAAGAAGATTTCCACCTAATCAGGGAAACTGCAGTACGTTTTTGGTTTTATTGCTTATTTAGACGATTACAATGTTTCCAGTGGTCTCCAGGGATTTAATGGTCCTCTCAGGGACCTCACCTGATCACCATCGTCGGCTGCCAAGAGTCTTTTACCCGGTAATCGGTCGAAGTCAGTGTGACCGAGCTTGTATGGCTGTATCCATATTCGCAATGTTTCCATTTTGGTATTCAGTGTGATTTTTTATTCCATAAAAAGGGTGTTTTTTTTAAAGGTATAAAACTTGTAGTATTACATTTTCAGCCACGGCTGGCTCGGATGTAGTCCAATTTTCGATGACTGTAACGATCTTGGCATCATCGTTTTTGAAGAAGTAAGGACCAATGATTCCACCAGTCCATTAAGCGCACCACATAGGCAGTTTTTCTGTATGTAACGGTGTTTTGACATACACTTAAGGGTTAACATCACTCCAAATGCGTAAGTTTTGTTTGTTAGCGTAGCCATTCAAACAGAAATACGCTATCGATTTTGTCGACGATAAAATTTTCGAAATTAAATTGCACTAATTGCAAGCGTTGTTAAGGCCTGAGTCTATTCATGATGAATTGCCAAACCAAACTGAGAACAAATCACTTGACAGCTGTTAAATCGGTCGCCATCTTAAACAGTAATGCCAACTTAAATTTGTATAACTCCAAATAAAATATCTTCAATATCAATTCTCTGGTTTATATCTTATTTTCTAATGTAAGTACGTCCTTATGAGCTGGCCCTGGAATATGTCCATTATTCATGAAAGGAGTAGAACATTGCCTTCCCTACTCTCTGTCAGTTTTGGCTACTTCACAGTATGGTTTCAGATCCCCAATATACTCTCGCTTCGTTTTCCTATTGCCCTGAATCTATGGATCTGGATCTGGGATCTGAGGCGGTAAAATGTAAGGAAAGCTCACCTCTCACCGGCGTGACACTGAATTCAGCAGTAGATCTGCATTAGTATTGGAATATCACGCGTTCTTATGCATTATCTTTTCTTTTTGTACCGGCAACCGCTCGCGACCTGCACCCGCTTAAAACCTTTTGTAAAACCGCCTGATTTCAATAAATATACTCAAACCCTATAATAAATAAATACAGTCCACTTAATTCATAAACATAACAAAATTTTGGTCTTTCGAGCGGATTTTCTATCAAGTACAGTGGAGCGTCTATTTGAGGGGCAAAACCAACTTCTGGAAGAAATGCATACGTCATCGGGAGCAGCTGATTTAAGGTTTGAGAAAATTATAATTCCCACATTATTTGGCAAATACGAGGATTGGAGCCAATTTAGTGATTTGTTCTTTAAGCTCAGTAAATAATAACGAAAAGCTTTCCAAGTGCCAAAAATTTAATTATTTGGAATCTTATTTAGATGGGAAAGCACTTTCCTTAATTAAACATTTTGCTGGTAGAAATGATAATTACCAAGATGCGTGGGAAAATTTTAAAATCGTTATAACAAGATAACGTTAATCGCTCGATCATTTGTTCAGAATTTTCTATCGTTGCCAATCGCTATCAATTTGAATATCTTAGAGTTAGGTAGGGTAATTGACTCTGCCGACGATTGTATATAGCTTGGGCTAACTGTAGTGTGTCGTCCAAGGAAGACGCCACCATAAATTATCTATTCGCTTTTCTTTTTGCTCATTGCAATACTTTAAGGTCTTGTCGGGATATACACGTAAGGCGACCCCCAAGACCAGCCCAGAGTAGACGCCGCCAAGTCGCTTATCATGCAAGTGGATCAAATCAGTCTTCTCGCGACTGTATATATCGTCAAGGACAGCACAATATATACGCATGTACTGCATTCAAAGCCCTGGATGTCGTAAATCGCCGTACCTTTGTCAGGGATACTAAGCTTTGTTTTAATTGCCTAAGTCGATCTCATCAAGTCAAGGATTGTAATTCTTCGAACACTTGCCGTCAGTGCAACGCTAAGCATCACACGCTAGTCCAGCCGGAAGAGTCTAGATCGATTCCGTTGGGCTCCGCCCATATGTCTGCGGCTGAGGTTAATATATTTTCTTCGATTGATCCTGATGTTGGTATGAATACTGCTGCTGACAGCCATCATACTGTGGAGAGGGCCAACAATCAAGCCCTACTACCAACTATTCTTATAGCTCGATACTGGATCAACAATAACCATGGTAGCTGAGTCGTTTATCCAGCGGATTGGAATTCCATGAACGCATGCTCGCATCTCAAACTAATTTAATGATACTTTTTATTTATCTGTTTTTTTTTATTATGGATATGTGGGGTTAAATGTTTAAATAATTTAACATTAACACATAATTCAACATGATGTCTGAAAGTATCCATATAAGTAAAAAGTTGTGAGATTAAAATAACACTGAGACTTCTTATTTTTCAGGTGGTGGCCTTGTTGTTGGAACAGCATTATCTTTGTTGTTTTTTAAAAAACGAGCATGGCCTGCATGGGTCGGTGCGGGTTTTGGAATCGGCGTCGCATATAGAACATGCGAAATGGAAATAAATTCTTTTAAGTGAATATTGTACGATATAATTTATAATAAAACACTTATGTATTGTTGAACTTTACACTGTGAGAAGTACAAATAAGGCCAACGAAATTAAGGGCTTGTTACGATCAATTTCGACAAAAAATAGGTTCGTCTGGATATACTTATATATGTATAAATATCTAATACTTACAGAGCACTATTGTGTATGGGGGACTGATTTCAAGAGTGGCATAAGTTACAACAAATGTACATCTAGGGAAGATAAAAAGTTGAAAATTATTTGTTGACCTAAAATGCACGTTAAAAGATAATAGGTTCGGCATACGGACAAGATTATGTGTAAGCAAGTAATTATTTACCAGGGAAAGTAAATTGAGCAGTAGTAGTATTCTAAGGTAAGAAGTCAACATTAAGTTTTGATACCAGTTCAAACCTAGTAAAGCAATTAAAATTTTTTTTTATACCCGTTACTCGTAGAGTAAAAGGGTATACTAGATTCGTTGAAAAGTATGTAACAGATAGAAGAAAGCGTTTTCGACCCTATAAAGTATATATATTCTTGATCAGGATCAATAGCGAAGTCGATTGAGCCATGTCCGTCTGTCCGTCCATCCGTCCGTCTACCCGTCCGTATGAACGCTGAGATCTCAGGAACTATAGCAGGTACAAAGTTGAGATTAATAATGAAGATTCTTGAGATCCCGGGACAGCGCAAGTTTATTACAGCATTCTGCCACGCCCACTCTAACGCCCACAAATCGCGGAAAACTAAAATCGCTAAAATCTCGGGAACTATTAGAGCTAGAAAGTTGAAATTCAGTATGCATAAACTTTGGATGCCAGCGCATCTTTTAGTAGTACTATTATCTGGCCTCACCCACCCGTACGCCCACCAAGCTCTAAAGACGGTTTTCGCATTTTCAACAAAACCTGATATCTCGGTAACTATAAGTGATAGAATTTTCGGATTAAGCATGTAGATTTTTATGATGCCCCAAATACGAATTGTTTTTCCATCTAGCCACGCTCACCCTAACGCCCACAACACCAAAAAAACCAAAAATGCAAAAATCTCGGGAACTAAAAAAGAGCTACAAAGTTAGGCTCAAGAATACGTATTTAGGGCCACGCCTGTGGCGTCTATAATAATATTATAAATACCTTCGTTTGACGTTGTATAACTTATTTCCGTTAATATCTACCGATTTAAAAAATATTTTTCAAATTGGAACATTATTTCGCTACTTATGAAGAAATTTAGGTTATAAGGCCTCACATGGGCAGTGACGTCACTATCAGTTACTCGACATGCTTTCTCCGACAATAGGTGGCGCTTGGGTAATTTCCACTAGCAAAATGAATATTTTAAAATTGTGTAAAACAGTAATGGGTATCTTATAGTCGCGGCACTCGACTATATCGTTTCCTCTTGTTATATACTTAATAACTTTAAACAGGAGATCTAAACTCCGCATGCAGTCGGAAAAGAAAGTGCAAAGTAACATGGTTGTAAAAGCATACTTATGATATAGGGAAGATAATCAGTATACATTAGACAATCGAGTTTAAATGTACCAATGAAGTCAATATTGCGGACAAGAGCGGCAATCCTAGATACGAAATCTCAAATTGCCTCTTTAGAGAGTTTCAGATATAACTAATCGAAATATAAGGATCGAAAGGTCATTATGATCAGAAAAAATTGTGGAGGCAAGCAAGTCGATTGGAACGGATAAATATATGTTTATCTTGCAGATTTAAATCCCCCAAAAAGGTTTAACGGTCCTGCTTTTATGGCCGGGATACTTCAACGGAAATCAGCAATTCGTTCCAACATTTATTTATGTCAGCTGTGGTTGCTGAAAAGAAGATTTCGACCTAATCAGGGAAACTGCAGTACGTTTTTGGTTTTATTGCTTATTTAGACGATTACAGAGTTTAAGATATATCCAGTGGTTGATATAAAGCGTACTCGGCGTATCAGTACTCCAGGTCATTTAATGGTCCTCTCAGGGACCTCACCTGATCACCATCGTCGGCTGCCAAGAGTCTTTTACCCGGTAATCGGTCGAAGTCAGTGTGACCGAGCTTGTATGGCTGTATCCATATTCGCAATGTTTCAGTTTTGGTATTCAGTGTGATTTTTTATTCCATAAAAAGGGTGTTCTTTTTAAAGGTATAGAACTTGTAGTATTACATTTTCAGCCACGGCTGGCTCGGATGTAGTCCAATTTTCGATGACTGTAACGATCTTGGCATCATCGTTTTTGAAGAAGTAAGCATCAATGATTCCACCAGCCCATAAAGCGCACCACATAGGCAGTTTTTCTGTATGTAACGGTGTTTTGACATACACTTAAGGGTTAACATCACTCCAAATGCGTAAGTTTTGTTTGTTAGCGTAGCCATTCAAACAGAAATACGCTATCGATTTTGTCGACGATAAAATTTTCGAAATTAAATTGCACTAATTGCAAGCGTTGTTAAGGCCTGAGTCTATTCATGATGAATTGCCAAACCAAACTGAGAACAAATCACTTGACAGCTGTTAAATCGGTCGCCATCTTAAACAGTAATGCCAACTTAAATTTGTATAACTTCAAATAAAATACCTTCAATATCAATTCTCTGGTTTATATCTTATTTTCTAATGTAAGTACATCCTTATGAGCTGGCCCTGGAATATGTCCATTATTCCTGAAAGGAGTAGAACATTGCCTTCCCTACTCTCTGTCAGTTTTGGCTACTTCACAGTATGGTTTCAGATCCCCAATATACTCTCGCTTCGTTTTCCTATTGCCCTGAATCTATGGATCTGGATCTGGGATCTGAGGCGGTAAAATGTAAGGAAAGCTCACCTCTCACCGGCGTGACACTGAATTCAGCAGTAGATCTGCATTAGTATTGGAATATCACGCGTTCTTATGCATTATCTTTTCTTTTTGGAAAAGCAACTGCTCGCGACCTGCACCCGCTTAAAACCTTTTGTAAAACCGCCTGATTTCAATAAATATACTCAAACCCTATAATAAATAAATACAGTCCACTTAATTCATAAACATAACAAAATTTTGGTCCTTCGAGCGGATTTTCTATCAAGTACAGTGGAGCGTCTATTTGAGGGGCAAAACCAACTTCTGGAAGAAATGCATACGTCATCGGGAGCAGCTGATTTAAGGTTTCAGAAAATTATAATTCCCACATTATTTGGCAAATACGAGGATTGGAGCCAATTTAGTGATTTGTTCTTAAGCTCAGTAAATAATAACGAAAAGCTTTCCAAGTGCCAAAAATTTAATTATTTGGAATCTTATTTAGATGGGAAAGCACTTTCCTTAATTAAACATTTTGCTGGTAGAAATGATAATTACCAAGATGCGTGGGAAAATTTTAAAATCGTTATAACAAGATAACGTTAATCGCTCGATCATTTGTTCAGAATTTTCTATCGTTGCCAATCGCTATCAATTTGAATATCGTAGAGTTAGGTAGGGTAATTGACTCTGCCGACGATTGTATATAGCTTGGGCTAACTGTAGTGTGTCGTCCAAGGAAGACGCCACCATAAATTATCTATTCGCTTTTCTTTTTGCTCATTGCAATACTTTAAGGTCTTGTCAGGATATACACGTATGGCGACCCCCAAGACCAGCCCAGAGTAGACGCCGCCAAGACGCTTATCATGCAAGTGGATCAAATCAGTCTTCTCGCGACTGTATATATCGTCAAGGACAGCACAATATATACGCATGTACTGCATTCAAAGCCCTGGATGTCGTAAATCGCCGTACCTTTGTCAGGAATACTAAGCTTTGTTTTAATTGCCTAAGTCGATCTCATCAAGTCAAGGATTGTAATTCTTCGAACACTTGCCGTCAGTGCAACGCTAAGCATCACACGCTAGTCCAGCCGGGAGAGTCTAGATCGATTCCGTTGGGCTCCGCCCATATGTCTGCGGCTGAGGTTAATATATTTTCTTCGATTGATCCTGATGTTGGTATGAATACTGCTGCTGACAGCCATCATACTGTGGAGAGGGCCAACAATCAAGCCCTACTACCAACTATTCTTATAGCTCGATACTGGATCATGGTAGCTGAGTCGTTTATCCAGCGGATTGGAATTCCATGAACGCATGCTCGCATCTCAAACTAATTTAATGATACTTTTTATTTATCTGTTTTTTTTTATTATGGATATGTGGGGTTAAATGTTTAAATAATTTAACATTAACACATAATTCAACATGATGTCTGAAAGTATCCATATAAGTAAAAAGTTGTGAGATTAAAATAACACTGAGACATCTTATTTTTCAGGTGGTGGCCTTGATGTTGGAACAGCATTATCTTTGTTGTTTTTTAAAAAACGAGCATGGCCTGCATGGGTCGGTGCGGGTTTTGGAATCGGCGTCGCATATAGAACATGCGAAATGGAAATAAATTCTTTTAAGTGAATATTGTACGATATAATTTATAATAAAACACTTAATTATTGTTGAACTTTACACTGTGAGAAGTACAAATAAGGCCAACGAAATTAAGGGCTTGTTACGAGCAATTTCGACAAAAAATAGGTTCGTCTGGATATACTTATATATTTATAAATATCTAATACTTACAGAGCACTATTGTGTATGGGGGACTGATTTCAAGAGTGGCATAAGTTACAACAAATGTACATCTAGGGGAGATAAAAAGTTGAAAATTATTTGTTGACCTAAAATGCACGTTAAAAGATAATAGGTTCGGCATACGGACAAGATTATGTGTAAGCAAGTAATTATTTACCAGGGAAAGTAAATTGAGCAGTAGTAGTATTCTAAGGTAAGAAGTCAACATTAAGTTTTGATACCAGTTCAAACCTAGTAAAGCAATTAAAATTTTTTTTATACCCGTTACTCGTAGAGTAAAAGGGTATACTAGATTCGTTGAAAAGTATGTAACAGATAGAAGAAAGCGTTTTCGACCCTATAAAGTATATATATTCTTGATCAGGATCAATAGCGAAGTCGATTGAGCCATGTCCGTCTGTCCGTCCATCCGTCCGTCTACCCGTCCGTATGAACGCTGAGATCTCAGGAACTATAGCAGATACAAAGTTGAGATTAATAATGAAGATTCTTGAGATCCCGGGACAGCGCAAGTTTATTACAGCATTCTACCACGCCCACTCTAACGCCCACAAATCGCGGAAAACTAAAATCGCTAAAATCTCGGGAACTATTAGAGCTAGAAAGTTTAAATTCAGTATGCATAAACTTTGGATGCCAGCGCATCTTTTAGTAGTACTATTATCTGGCCTCACCCACCCGTACGCCCACCAAGCTCTAAAGACGGTTTTCGCATTTTCAAGAAAACCTGATATCTCGGTAACTATAAGTGATAGATACTTCGGATTAAGCATGTAGATTTTTATGATGCCCCAAATACGAATTGTTTTTCCATCTAGCCACGCTCACCCTAACGCCCACAACACCCAAAAAACCAAAAATGCAAAAATCTCGGGAACTAAAAAAGAGCTACAAAGTTAGGCTCAAGAATACGTATTTAGGGCCACGCCTGTGACGTCTATAATAATATTATAAATACCTTCGTTTGACGTTGTATAACTTATTTCCGTTAATATCTACCGATTTAAAAAATATTTTTCAAATTGGAACATTATTTTGCTACTTATGAAGAAATTTAGGTTATAAGGCCTCACATGGGCAGTGACGTCACTATCAGTTACTCGACATGCTTTCTCCGACAATAGGTGGCGCTTGGGTAATTTCCACTAGCAAAATGAATATTTTAAAATTGTGTAAAACAGTAATGGGTATCTTATAGTCGCGGCACTCGACTATATCGTTTCCTCTTGTTATATACTTAATAACTTTAAACAGGAGATCTAAACTCCGCATGCAGTCGGAAAAGAAAGTGCAAAGTAACATGGTTGTAAAAGCATACTTATGATATAGGGAAGATAATCAGTATACATTAGACAATCGAGTTTGAATGTACCAATGAAGTCAATATTGCGGACAAGAGCGGCAATCCTAGATACGAAATCTCAAATTGCCTCTTTAGAGAGTTTCAGATATAACTAATCGAAATATAAGGATCGAAAGGTCATTATGATCAGAAAAAATTGTGGAGGCAAGCAAGTCGATTGGAACGGATAAATATATGTTTATCTTGCAGATTTAAATCCCCCAAAAAGGTTTAACGGTCCTGCTTTTATGGCCGGGATACTTCAACGGAAATCAGCAATTCGTTCCAACATTTATTTATGTCAGCTGTGGTTGCTGAAAAGAAGATTTCGACCTAATCAGGGAAACTGCAGTACGTTTTTGGTTTTATTGCTTATTTAGACGATTACAGAGTTTAAGATATATCCAGTGGTTGATATAAAGCGTACTCGGCGTATCAGTACTCCAGGTCATTTCATGGTCCTCTCAGGGACCTCACCTGATCAGCATCGTCGGCTGCCAAGAGTCTTTTACCCGGTAATCAGTCGAAGTCAGTGTGACCGAGCTTGTATGGCTGTATCCATATTCGCAATGTTTCAGTTTTGGTATTCAGTGTGATTTTTTATTCCATAAAAAGGGTGTTCTTTTTAAAGGTATAGAACTTGTAGTATTACATTTTCAGCCACGGCTGGCTCGGATGTAGTCCAATTTTCGATGACTGTAACGATCTTGGCATCATCGTTTTTGAAGAAGTAAGGACCTATGATTCCACCAGCCCATAAAGCGCACCACATAGGCAGTTTTTCTGTATGTAACGGTGTTTTGACATACACTTAAGGGTTAACATCACTCCAAATGCGTAAGTTTTGTTTGTTAGCGTAGCCATTGAAACAGAAATACGCTATCGATTTTGTCGACGATAAAATTTTCGAAATTAAATTGCACTAATTGCAAGCGTTGTTAAGGCCTGAGTCTATTCATGATGAATTGCCAAACCAAACTGAGAACAAATCACTTGACAGCTGTTAAATCGGTCGCCATCTTAAACAGTAATGCCAACTTAAATTTGTATAACTCCAAATAAAATACCTTCAATATCAATTCTCTGGTTTATATCTTATTTTCTAATGTAAGTACATCCTTATGAGCTGGCCCTGGAATATGTCCATTATTCCTGAAAGGATTAGAACATTGCCTTCCCTACTCTCTGTCAGTTTTGGCTACTTCACAGTATGGTTTCAGATCCCCAATATACTCTCGCTTCGTTTTCCTATTGCCCTGAATCTATGGATCTGCATCTGGGATCTGAGGCGGTAAAATGTAAGGAAAGCTCACCTCTCACCGGCGTGACACTGAATTCAGCAGTAGATCTGCATTAGTATTGGAATATCACGCGTTCTTATGCATTATCTTTTCTTTTTGTACCGGCAACCGCTCGCGACCTGCACCCGCTTAAAACCTTTTGTAAAACCGCCTGATTTCAATAAATATACTCAAACCCTATAATAAATAAATACAGTCCACTTAATTCATAAACATAACAAAATTTTGGTCTTTCGAGCGGATTTTCTATCAAGTACAGTGGAGCGTCTATTTGAGGGGCAAAACCAACTTCTGGAAGAAATGCATACGAGGTGTGTTCAAAAAGTAAGGTGACTCTTCAAATTTCGCGAATTTCAAATTTTTCGATTATCGATTTTTTTGTTTTGTTATATTGGTACACTCTTCCCTAACATCTGTACCAAGTTTCAATGGAACATCCTCTTTTGTTTGGCTGTGAGAGGCGTAAAGTTACAAGTTATTTTGCGAGCTCGGCGATTTTTTGCTATCGAAAAATATGGATCAAAGGATTTGGATTTTTTGGCCAAAAACAACACCACAATAATGCCTCAGCCACCATATTCACCGGATTTGGCCCCATGTGACTTTTTCTTGTTCCCAAAACTGAAGATAATCGAAAAATTTGAAAAATTTGAAATTTGAAAAGTCACCTTACTTTTTGAACACAACTCGTATAACTTCTAAAAGGTTTCGATAATCGAAAAATTTGAAATTCGCGAAATTTGAAGAGTCACCTTACTTTTTGAACACACCTCGTACGTCATCGGGAGCAGCTGATTTAAGGTTTCAGAAAATTATAATTCCCACATTATTTGGCAAATACGAGGATTGGAGCCAATTTAGTGATTTGTTCTTAAGCTCAGTAAATAATAACGAAAAGCTTTCCAAGTGCCAAAAATTTAATTATTTGGAATCTTATTTAGATGGGAAAGCACTTTCCTTAATTAAACATTTTGCTGGTAGAAATGATAATTACCAAGATGCGTGGGAAAATTTTAAAATCGTTATAACAAGATAACGTTAATCGCTCGATCATTTGTTAAGAATTTTCTATCGTTGCCAATCGCTAACAATTTGAATATCGAAGAGTTAGGTAGGGTAATTGACTCTGCCGACGAATGTATATAGCTTAGGCTAACTGTAGTGTGTCGTCCAAGGAAGACGCCACCATAAATTATCTATTCGCTTTTCTTTATGCTCATTGCGATACCTTCAGGTCTTGTCAGGATATACTCGTAAGGCGATCCCCAAGACCAGCCCAGAGTAGACGCCGCCAAGACGCTTATCATGCAAGTGGATCAAATCAGTCTTCTCGCGACTGTATATATCGTCAAGGACAGCACAATATATACGCATGTACAGCATTCAAAGCCCTGGATGTCGTAAATCGCCGTACCTTTGTCAGGGATACTAAGCTTTGTTTTAATTGCCTAAGTCGATCTCATCAAGTCAAGGATTGTAATTGTCGTGGAACGGATTAACATATCGCTCAAGGTTTAGTAAATTTAAATGTAGCGCCAAGTATTTCAGTATTTGTTATCGATGTTGTAAATCGTTCGAGAGATCATATTGTAAAGCTAAATGCGGTCACACGAAATGGTGAATTGTAAGCCAGAATCTCCCGCTCAGATTTATTCCGATTGGAGAGATCAAAGAGACTGGGAGGCGAGACTGCGGTATGTAAAACTGATTGTGAAAATAGGTTAAATCTGATATATGTATTTCATACAGAATAAAACATCGTCGTTTGTTTTTATGCTATTGTTCTACGCTACAAGACTGGCTTTCTTGTTTCGGTGTTGGCTAAGCAACGTTAAAGGCAACTCCCAGGGGATCTCTTTCGGTCGGCGTCATTTCTTTTATTCGCACTCCTTTATCGTGCAATGCCGACTTCACATTCACCCCGGCGGAGCCCCCGAATTGGACAGACGGGAGCTCCCGCAACTGCAACTACGACCACCGCGACCACATCAGCCGGCACTCCGAAGAATGTGCCGGGCTTATCGGGCGGTGAGCTGCAGCGGCCACGGACTCCAAAGCAACCGGGATTAATCCCAAGTGGTGCTCCAAAGCCTGATAGATCAGGCCAGGATACGGACACCACAACCGCCAAGTTTGCGGCGCTGATGGAGAGGATCGCTACCTTGGAAAGGGAGCTTCAAAAGGCGAGGTCAGGTGAAGGGCAAGATGCAGCCGCGAAGGATCCCGTTAGAAACGGATCAAGCGGTATAGGAGCGAGCGGTGCGGCGAATGCGCCGCCATGTTTGAGCGGAACGCCAGGGCAGAACTTGAGTGGAAATCTGCCGCCATTGTTGAGTGGAAATCTGGCACCGAATTTGGCTGAGTCAGTGACGCCATTTTTACATGAACAGTTGCCGCCATTATTGAGTGGAAACCTTCCGCCACAATCGAGTGGAAATCTGGCAATAGGGCAACAAGTCACACTCAGTACAAACAGTACAACGTTAAGCTATTCCACACCATGCTGCGTGACGGCTACTGTGCAGCCAGCACTAAGCTACATGCAAGCTACGCGGGAACCTCTTCGCAACCTGATGGTACCCCCGCAATCAACTGGTTCATACGGAATAGCTTCGCCGAGCCCGTTAATTGGATGGACGCCGCGCAGACTGCCTGATCTTCCAGAGTTCGAAGGTCAGCCTGAGGAATGGCCAATATTCCAATGCGCGTTCACGGAGACGACGGCGGCGTATAATTGTACTGCGTTGGAGAACAACCAGAGGCTAGTGAAAGCCCTGAAGGGTGAAGCGCGAGCATCTGTCAAGTCGCTGCTTATACACCCGAATAACGTTCAGGCTGTAATGGATCAGCTACGTTTCCGATATGGACGCCCGGAGCAACTGATACGTAGCCAACTGGAAAGCGTGCGAGAGGTGCAGCCGATCCAAGAACACAATATAATAAAGATCGTGCCGTTTGCAACACGGGTCAGCAATCTCGCAGCGTTTTTACAGTCAAGCCCGAACGGGGAGCAGCACCTAGGAAATCCTACATTGATGGAAGAGCTGATCGCCAAGCTACCACTGAGCAAAAGGTTGGATTGGGCCAGGCACGCCGCCGTAATAGGGTGCTACCCAACTGTCGCGCACTTGAGCGAATGGCTAAACGAACTCGCTAAATTAGTGTGCACTATTACGAGCAGCGACAGCAAGGATCCTAAGCGTAGGGTATTGCACGCCAGCACCAGTCAGAAGGATCAGGATCTATTTGAAGATCATCCCAGGAGTTGCCCAATTTGCGAGGGGCAACACACTATCAAGGACTGTAAGGATTTCAACCACGCTACTCCGACTGCCCGTATGGAGTATGTAAGAAGGCATCGGATTTGTTTCTCGTGCCTGGAGAGCGGTCACATGTCCAGGTTCTGCAAGAGAAACAGCAAGAGCAACGTCTACGGATGCCAGATGGGGCATCACTACCTCCTGCATGACGGGGTGGGCAACCCCACACGGCCATCGCAACCCCACGGTCGACCATGGCCAAATGAAAGGAGCGATCGCGGTCGCATGGTACATGCGGGCGCTGACAGGAGGAAGGTGGACAAGCAAGTACATCAGCCAGATGATCTGGCCCAGAGAAGTCCACTTACGGCATCTGCACAGACGCAGGATGCATGGCGCAAGCGGGACGAAGGCCGTCAGCCAAGTGACGGGAATGGATTGCCACATCGGAACCTAAGTTGCGTCGATCCAGATGGAGGACACTTACTATTCCGTATTTTGCCCGTGACGCTGTACGGGGAGGATACGCAGCTGGATACCTACGCGCTGTTCGACGAAGGTTCGTCCGTGACCCTGATCGACGAGGAGCTCACCCGAAGCCTAAACCTAAAAGGCGAGAGTCGGCAGCTCAACATTCAATGGTTCGGTGGCAAGTCAGCGAAAGAGAACACAAAGATGGTCAGCCTCCAGATTAGTGAAGCGGGCAGACCGAAACGCCATGCTTTGAAAAATGTGTATGCGGTCTCTAACCTCAATCTTCCGATGCAAAGTCTGCGTCGGGAAGATGTCAAAGCGGCGAAGGCTTCTGCACGCCTGCCGATGAAACCGTATCGTAATGCGGTCCCGAGGATTTTAATCGGACTAGACCATGCGCACCTAGGAATACCTATGCAAAACAGGAGCTTCGGAGCAGGAGGACCCTATGCAGCCGCCACCAAGCTAGGATGGGTGGTTTTTGGTCCTGTAAGAAGTCAGATGAGTTCACCAATGCAAAGATCGTGCCTCCTAGCCGTCCCACAGTATGATCATCTCGAGAAGATGGTCAGCGACTATTTCGAAATAGAGAATTTCGGAGTGAAGCCGGCGCCACCAGTCGCAGCTAGTGGCGACGCACGGGCTTTGGGAATCCTGAACGAGACGACTAGGCGAGTGGGCGAACGATACCAAACTGGATTGCTGTGGAAAGATGATAAAGTAAGCCTGCCTGACAGCTATAACATGGCACTCAAAAGACTTGTCGGCATTGAAAGGAAGATGAGACGGGATGACAGCTTTGCACGGGCCTACAAGTCGATCATGGAGGACTACGTCAACAAGGGTTACGCACGACGCCTGGAGCAGCAGGAAGTGGCAGCCGATAACCGGGACAAGATCTGGTACCTGCCGCACTTCGGGGTCGAGAACCCAAACAAGCCCGGAAAGATCCGTCTAGTCTTCGATGCCGCAGCCAAAGTGGGCAATACATCTTTGAACTCAGTTCTACTCAAAGGCCCACAACAGTTCAAGTCCCTGCCAGCCGTGCTCTTCCATTTCCGGGAAGGAGCAGTCGGGGTCTGCGCAGACATAAAGGAGATGTTTCATCAGGTGCTGATACAGCCCCAGGATAGATGCGCCCAGAGATTCCTGTGGAGGAATGGAGATGACCGGCGAGATCCAGATCTGTTCGAAATGGTTGTGATGACGTTCGGAGCCGCTTGTTCGCCGTGCTCAGCGCATCATGTGAAGACCATAAACGCTTCAAGATACGCCCAAGCAGATCCTCGCGCGGTTCAGGCCATCAATGAGTATCACAATGTAGATGACTACGTGGATAGTTTCTCGGACGAGAAAGAAGCTATCGCTGTATCAGAACGAGTAAGGAAAATTCATGCTGAGGCCGGTTTCGATTTGTGCCGCTTCTCATCAAGTTCGGAAAGTGTGGTCAAGGCTTTGAACCCACTAGGATCCAATACGAACGTTGAATGGAATGAAGCGGAGGAGAAAATATTAGGCATGTACTGGCACCCAGCGACGGATGACTTTAAATTCAGCGTAAAGTACCACAGGGTTCCCAGCAGGGTGATGACCGGAGAACGTGCACCCACCAAGAGAGAATTCCTAAGTCTGGTTATGTCAACATTTGACCCGATAGGATTCTTGAGCTGCTTCATGGTAACCGCCAAACTATTGATGCGTGAGATTTGGCGGAGAGGAGTTCAGTGGGACGAGCCGTTGCCGGATGAGTTAGCCAAAGCGTTTGAGAGCTGGAGGCTGGAAATGGATTACGTGAGAGATTTCCGCTGTCCACGCTACTACTTTGGCACGGGATGCGTACGTGAACTGCAGCTACATGTGTTTGTGGACTCCAGCCAATCGGCGTTCGCAGCAGTTGCATTCTGGAGGGCGACTTATGACAACGATGATGTGCGGTCCTATTTCGTGTGTTCCAAAACGAAATGCGCCCCGATGAAGACGATGACGATCCCGCGCCTGGAGCTCCAAGCAGCTGTATTAGGAACCAGGCTGATGGACACCGTAAGACGAGAGCACGACGTATCGATCAGCAGATGCGTGCTATGGACTGACTCTAAGACCGTGCTGCACTGGATAAGCAGCACCCACCGGCGGTATAAGCAGTTCGTTGGAAACCGGGTGGCGGAGATCTTAGAGTCAACGGAGGTGTCTCAATGGAGGTGGATACTGTCTGCCGAAAACGTGGCAGATGACGCGACGAGGCCACAGCGCCATGTGGACCTCAGCCAAGGGGCAAGGTGGATGAGCGGGCCATCATTTCTGCGGGAGTCGGAAGAACAGTGGCCCAAGCCATCTCCAAGTGATCGCGACAGTCCACACTCCGCAGAAGAAGAGATGCCGTGTGAGTTTACACTGGTAATTGCCAACGAGTTTATATTTTTGCAGAGATTTTCGAATTATAATCGATTGGTCAGGACCACAGCGTGGATCCTCAGGTTCATACGACGGTGCCGTGGATTGAGTGACGAGAGTGAGGCCTACGGTATTACAGCTACTGAGTGCGCGGAGGCAGAACGGAAACTGATCCAGTGCGCCCAGGCTGATACGTTCGCAGATGAAGTTCAAGGAAAGGCAGTGGCGAAAGGCAGTCAGTTACGAGGACTATCCCCTTACGTCGACCACGATGGAATCATACGAGCGCGTGGACGGATTGATGCCGCCGAATGCGTCCCATTCAACGCACGGCGCCCGATCATACTGTCGCACAAACACGCACTGGCAGAGATGATAGTTCGTCACTACCACAGGAAGATGAAGCACCAGAATCTAGACGCGACCATAAGCGAGATCCGGACCAGGTTCTGGATAACCAATTTAAGGAGAGGTTTTACGGAGTGTTATGGCAACCTGTAACTTATGCAAACTCCGGAGAGTACGACCAATTCCGCCATTGATGGGTCCGTTGCCAGAGGACCGGCTGGAGCCGAATGGATGGCCATTCAAGTATACTGGCTTGGACTACTTTGGTCCGCTGTTTGTGACGATTGGACGTCGCACTGAGAAGAGGTGGGTCGCACTCTTTACTTGTCTAACCACCAGGGCTGTCCACCTGGAGATAGCCCACGATTTGTCAACAGATTCCTGCATCATCGCTATGAGGAATTTTATGTGCCGCCGTGGACCGGTGGTCAGATTGAGGAGCGACAATGGAAAGAACTTTATTGGAGCAGATCGTGAGGCCAGAAAGTTCGATGAAGTCTTCGAACCAGAAAAGATCCAGGATGAGCTGTCATCCAAAGGAATCGAATGGATCTTTAACTGTCCCGCGAACCCAGCTGCCGGCGGCATCTGGGAAAGGATGGTCCAATGTGTGAAGAAGGTGCTCGCGCATACTGTGAAGGAGGGTGGCTCCTAAGGAACACGTCTTGGAGAGCTTTCTTATTGAGGCGGAGAATATTGTTAATTCTCGTCCGCTTACCCACCTTCCAGTCACTGTGGATCAGGAGGCACCGCTAACGCCCAACGATCTGCTAAGAGGAGTGGCTAATGTTCCGGACCTTCCTGGAGATCGCGGAGAGCAGCCTGTCAAGTGCGCTACTAGGAAGCAGTGGCGTATCGCACGGATGATGAGAGACAGATTTTGGAAACGTTGGGTACATGAGTATCTACCGACGCTTGTTCGCAGGGAGAAATGGTGCGAGCATGTCGAGCCTATGCGCCCAGGGAATCGTGTACATCTGTGATCCGGCCATCCCTCGTCGAGAATGGAGGAAAAGGCGTCGTGGAGGAAGTGTACCCAGGAGCGGATGGAGTACCACGACGAGCGGCGGTACGCACTACCAATGGCGATCGAGCTAAGTTAATCATGCGTCCCATCTCCAGATTGGCTATCCTGGATGTGGTGAATGCAGTTGCTTCACCGGGGTGGGGATGTCGTGGAACGGATTAACATATCGCTCAAGGTTTAGTAAATTTAAATGTAGCGCCAAGTATTTCAGTATTTGTTATCGATGTTGTAAATCGTTAGAGAGATCATATTGTAAAGCTAAATGCGGTCACACGAAATGGTGAATTGTAAGCCAGAATCTCCCGCTCAGATTTATTCCGATTGGAGAGATCAAAGAGACTGGGAGGCGAGACTGCGGTATGTAAAACTGATTGTGAAAATAGGTTAAATCTGATATATGTATTTCATACAGAATAAAACATCGTCGTTTGTTT